CCTGCCGGGCCTGCTGCCGCCTGCTTTAGCTCGTGTAGCTGGGGAAGTTGTCTCTCATTTCGTATCGGGCTGTTTAGGAGGCTGGAGTACTGCGTCTGTAAGCTGTTTCCCTAACCTTACTTGGTAAAGGCTCTGAGATTGCAGCAGGGTGCTCGTTTGGTGTGGGGTCTCAGGTCAGGCTCCCAGCACACACCGTTTCAGCTGCAGTCAAGTGATGAGAAATCTCCGGAATCGCTGTACCACATTGATGATTCCCTTGAACCCTTCTATATCTGATGACTGTGGCTGTTCTGTAGAAGCAGGCATCCACTTGTCGGGCTGCTGGGCCAGTGTTGGGTTGTTTCTGGGAGATCCCTGTGTGGTAGATGCTGGCAGCTGGCAGCGTAGGAGTGGCATATCTGGCAGAAACGTGGTGTTCCTGATGGCTGTCCCTTTCGACCTTCCAGGAGGAAGGCCCGCCAGGCGAAGGCTCGCCGCATCGCTCCCCGTCCTGTAGCTGGGCCCATCCGGCCTATAGTAAGGTGCCCTACTATCAGATACCACAAAAAAGTTCGTGCTGGCAGAGGCTTCAGCCTGGAAGAACTTAAAGTAAGTATGGAGCACTGATCCCAACCTGATGAAGCTACCTCTGAGTCTGAGCTCGGTTGTCTTGTCCTGTTCTTCTGCATGTAGACACTGCAGAAGTGACTTGCCAAGGTGTCGGTATCTGCTGACACTGGCTGAGCCAGGGGAGACATCTGGTGTTGCTGGCTCTATGGGAGCATAGCAAATACTGGTCTTGCTTTTTTGTAACTGTGGGGTGGGGACGCAGCAGCATACATCAAGAGTGAAAGGTTGCTTTGAAAAGTAAACATCCATTTGTCTGGTCAGGCTGTCACTTGTACAAAATTCCATTAAAGTTGGATTCTGGTGGCACCTTAATTGAGTCTCCTAAATGGAGACTTTCCCTTTGGGGAAAAAGAAAGACCAATAGCTTCATTAAATTCTTTCGCATTTCTTTTGTGAAACACGTTTCTGCTAATCCTAAAAACTTTATCCAGTGTGAACCTGTTCACGGGCCAAGTGACGCGCGCTCAACTTCTTCCTAATGGAAGTAAGGGATGTTGTGCTGGGAGAAGGCACTGTTCTGCCTAGCCTTGCAGGGTAGCTGCAGCTGTTTCTCGTGTGATAGCTAGGAGTTGGTTTAGGAACACTAAAAAGTCTGTGGGAAGTGCTTAGTGCCCTCTGTTGCTTCAGGAAACTGTTCTGACCTTCCCAGGTGATGAGCTGTTAAAAGCTGGATCGTGGTGGTCTGCAGGAACCCCCACCTGCATATCTCCACACAGTGGGCAGACAGCATCCATAGCTGCCTCGTGTGCATTGTTTAGTGTCTAATTAAAACATTTGTAACAATGAAATTTGTGCATTAAAGCAGTAAAATTTCTCTTCTGGATGCTAAATGCTTCATTACTTTATTTTTCTTTAATTTGGGGGTAATGGTGGAATACAAAATGGTAGGCAAATCTTTTTCTTTAAACAGAAAATGAGGTTATTTCTTGTTTAAGATGGGTCCAAAAAATACTTCTTTAACGGGGCTTCTGGTATTCAGTGAACCAGAGTTACCCGCTTGCTGACTTCATACATATCTGCCGCATGAGTATCAGAGTTTAAGTGTCCCCCTCATAATTACTCAGGGGTCGCACTTTGCTATCCTGAGGAAATCCATCTGCAAAAATTACTCTAAAGGCTGTGGAATGTTTTAAGCATTAAAATAGAGACACCAGGACACCCTTTGTCTGTGGCGTGTTCTCTTGCCAGACATGCTGCAGCCAGGCCGTTGGTCAGATGCTGAGCCTTTCTCCAGGCTCTGTAGCCTGTGAAGGCAGAGCTCGAAGCCTTGGCCGGCTGATGACCGGAGTGGCTCCTGGCAGTCCCACAGTGGCATTGGGAGCTGTCGGATGCTGACGCTGCATGCTCTCTCCTCAGCTCGCTGGCATTAATAAAAAGTTTGCCCGGACTATTGGAATCTCTGTGGATCCCAGGCGACGCAACAAGTCTACCGAGTCGCTGCAAGCCAACGTGCAGAGGCTGAAGGAGTACCGCTCCAAGCTTATCCTCTTCCCAAGGAAGCCAGCTATGCCTAAGAAGGGAGACAGCTCTGTAAGTACTTGGCTGCTAGAAATGTTTCATAGGGGCTGTTTCTGGTAATGTTTTCAGAGGTTTGGTCCATCCTGGTGCCGTGGTGTGCAGTCAGACGGTGCTCCTGAACGCTTCTTGTGACACATGGTTCCTGTGCACATACGTAGGGGATGACTGAGCCCAGCGCAAGGCCAGGCCTGGTTGAGTCGACTTTCATGGAGATCTCCTGGGTTACAATAATGCTTTGGGCGGACTTTTGGCCTAGGGACTGCCATGCTGCTGAAGGGGTGCAGCTCAGATTTGGGACTGGACTCCTCGGATGGTCTGTTTGCTGTAGCTTTGACCATTGCCCAACCAGTTGAATTTAGTTTATGAAATTTTAGTTTGTGTCTGGAGTTCTGTTCTGCTGTGGTGACAGCTGCACGGAAAGGGTGAGGAAGGCGAGCACATGCTTTTCAGTGGAGTAGTCCAGTGAAAGCCGTGCGTGAGGCAGTCTCATGAAGGTTGTTGCTGTTGATGTACAAAAATGCCTTTCATTAAAATCTCACCGAGATCTAGAGTAGAGTTGCCTTTCTTTCCTTGTCCATCCTTGGCCTTGCCTGTGGCAAATACATGCTGCCCGTGGGGTGGTGCAAGGTGTGAAACGAGGCGGTGTGCTCAAGCTATCCCTGGTTTTCTGGAGAGCCTGTCGGCTCTGAGCTGCTTAAGCGTAGTGCAGCCTGTAGAGCCCACCACACTGGGGCTGCTTTCAGACCAGGGCAGGAAGGGTCTCCAGCTTCGGTGCCAGTAGGTACAGATACTTGCATCTGGAATACTGTTTCAAGTTTGTTTACTTGAAATCAACTATCTAAAATAAAACTTAATCGTTTTTGTGCAATACACTCCTAAAGAAGCTGGAATTAGCCTTAGAAGGAATTACTGAGGAATACGCTGGGTATTAAACTAAAAATGGCACAGTAGATGTCAACGTTTTTCCAGCTGGCAGAGCTCCTGAAAGGCGGCTGCTCCTCTGGCCAGACCCAGGCTGATCAGTAGCCAGGCAAAAGGCAGGTTGTCTGTGCCAAATATTCCTGTAGCTGCACGGCTGAAATGCTGAATTTGTTACCAGTTGGTGTTAAATCTCCCATCAGAATTGCTGTCTGCGTGTTTAAGCTGGGTACCAGCGTACAGGGTATGCCTTTAACCAGGGTACTAGCCTGAGAAGTTTTAAATAGCGTGGTTTTTCTTTTTAAATAATATTATTTACCCTCTTGTTACGCAGGCTGAGGAACTCAAGATGGCGACTCAGCTGACTGGACCGGTTATGCCGATCAAGAATGTAAGTGTAACTAAATCATGTTCTCTGTGTGACATAGTTGAGACTTAAGCTTCATGGAGAGGATTCTCTTCTCGCTGTTCTACAGTTAAGGGTTGCTGTCTCCAGACACTTCCCACCCTGGATCAAAGAAAACCAGGAACAGGTCTATCTTGTCCTTGTCTTTTGCCAAAAGTGCCGTGGTCCATTTGGTTCCTTAGCGTTGCAAAGCGGACTGCAGAGAACCGATTACTTTTTATCTATCACCTGAGGAAGTCCTTGCATCGTGAGCTGTGTTTCTGAGGAGAGCTCCCAGCACCAGTGCCAGGGGTTCGAGTTAAGATATGTTGGTTGGGGATATGTGTGTTCTGCCCTAAATGACATGAGGGAGAAGCAGAGCTATGTGCGCTCTCCAGAGAAGGCCATGGGGAAACCTGCAGTGACCCCCCAAATCGTGTGATTCCTGTGAGGACACAGGTTAAAGCCCCGTGAAGCATCTCCACTGTGTGCGTGTGCGCACATGTGTGTGTGCACTCAGTGTTGTGTCCTCCAGGCAGGCTCAGGGGCTGTTTGTCTGCTCGTACCCCTGTAAAATTTGGGGCGCTCAGGGTTGCCAGTTGGGGTGAGGGCTGTGTGCTGGCAGCACGACAGCCCAGGCAAGTTGCATAGTCGCCATTTGTCTCCAAACCCTCACCGCTTCCGAAAGGCACTGTTGACAGCGTGCCGCAAACCCGGCTCACATTTCACGTGGCGCGTGGGGGGTTTTTTTCTCCCCTTGGTATGTTCTGGTCTTGTGCTGACGTGCGCTGGCGAATTAGGAACCGGTTGAAATGAGGCACCTGGTGGAGTGACGATAAAGGCAGGGCCTGTAGATGGCATAAATGCTCTATTCTTAACAGCATCCTGGAGCTAGCGGCAAAAATGTAGCGAGATCAATTGCGTTAAGCCTTACATGCAGTCTTCTCTGGGAGCCTCTGATGTGCAGCCTGACTGTCTAGCGCTCTCTCCCACTAGGTTTTCAAACGGGAGAAGGCCCGTGTTATCTCGGAAGACGAGAAGAACTTCAAGGCCTTTGCCAGCCTGCGCATGGCCCGGGCCAACGCCCGTCTCTTTGGGATTCGTGCGAAACGCGCCAAAGAAGCGGCAGAGCAGGATGTGGAGAAGAAGAAATGAACTGTTTCTCCCTAGAACTGTCAATAAAAAAAAAAAAAAAAAAAAACCCTGTAGGAATATCAGTGTCCTGTCTTTTTAGGGCAAGTGTGCAGGGCTGAGCCGCCCTGCGGCAGCGAGCGTGCCAGTGCAGGCCCTGGGCTGCTGTGCGTGGAGGGACATGCTCTGGGGGAGCTGCTGTTCAGGCACGGGGCACCTCGTTCGCTGTGGTTAGAGACTCCAAACTTCCCTGGAAGCAAGTGAAACGCCACCTCGGCCTTGTGCCGCTCCTTCGGGGACGCGGCCGGGGCTCCCTCCCATGCCGGAGCCTGATGCAGCTGCTGAAGCTGCTGGTCAAGGGTTGGTTTTGGGATAACCCCTTCCCTGACAGGCTTTGCTTCCCACTAGCTCTCTTCTGTGCCAGTATTTTGGATTTAATGATTTCCACACCTCTGCCCATGGTTCTGTGTGAGGCAGAGCAGTTGGCTCTGCTGTAGCAGGTGGGGTGCCCTGGTGGGTGCCACCCGTGGGTGCTTGGTGTGCTTTGGGCAGCCACTCGCCTCGTGAGCCCCACCTGGGGCTCCATGGTGCTCGCTGGGGCAGCGAGCTGCCCAGGTTTGGGTCCTGCTCCCTGGTTTTGGAGGGGCATGGGGGGAGCGAGGCATGTCCCTGGCACCTGGGCTCTGCTGGCTCCTGCCTGCCCCTGGCTGGAGCGC